CGTGAGCCTGCGTTGTGTCCAGAGGCTTTAGGTTATCACGTGGGCACAGTCATCAGCGAAGGCATATAACTTTGAAGGCAGTCCGCACTGACAAAGGAATCATTGTTCGTAGTCGGCTACAGGCGTGACTCCTCAGAAGAGCCTGCAAAGTTGCTGGCATTCGATTAGGCAAGACTCTTTACAATATAGGAGTCCTTGAAACCTGGAAGCCAGCATAAATAATCCAATATTACGGATGACTATGTAAATGAAACACAGACTGATTGGGACTAAATTTTTGAGAACAAGAGAAATACCGAAGAGGCAAACTTTCTGTAAAATGAGTTAACCTAATTCCTACGAGCACAAGATGTTATTATTTCGTACAACCTCTTAAAATCCTTCATGTAATTGAACTATCACATTTATTGCCCTTAACACAGGTATATTCCTTTAATTCGTAGTCTGCTGAAGGAAGCCCACTAGTGCCAGTGTAATATGCTACCCTCAATTACATAAAGAAACAAGGTTTTCACTATTTTGTGTTTTTAGGTTTACGACAAGCAACAAGTAAAAGGTTAAGGTGTACAGCTGAAAATCTAGTCCTGGCAAACAGTAATTGAACAAGGACACAGAATATAACTTAATGTCGTGGTTAACCTATTCTTCTAATGAGCAGAAATTACCAACTATTAACTGCTCGGTAGATGAAGCTTTTGATCCAAAGGCTACGACGGCCTTTCCATCCTTCGCGTTCCAGTGATGGATCATATTGTGCCTTCCCCAATGAATCCCCAACTGTATATCACATCAAAGGAATGGGTTTATCCTAGTCAAAGTAGAACTATTCACAGTTCAACACGCTCTTCTTGAACAGAGACTGCAGTCAATAGCGTTTTGACACTTCCTTCTGCAAAAAAGTGAAACTGCCAGTAACACGTAAGTAGTAAGAATAAATTGAGAATATGCTTCATGGTTGTGGGCCAACGTGCGAGGATCCCCATATATGTGTTGAAAGAAGTCTACTTAAGCCTCACGACTGCATTGCTTATCGTTTTGGTTTAGCAACTTACACAGGTTTCCATTACAGCGGTTAAAGTAAAAGCAAAATAAGTGACCCTTCCGGGGTTTCGCATCTCAGCAGTGATCGCAGATACGAGACTAGCAATCACTGTGCACGGCTCTGTCTACGGGCGGGAGGTTGAACTATAAATAGCTTAACAGGTATCAGAATTACCTGCCCCGATCACCTTGTTTATTTCCCAAACCCAAAGGCGATCGTAACGGTGGCAATTATGTTGTCCTAACCCGTTTCCAATGTATGACAACTAACTGTAAAATTATCGTTCTCCCCTCTCAAATGGTAAATTTGGTGCTGCGAACTTCCATCCGACGTAACTTCTCTCTCACTCCTCTTTCTGTCTATGTTAATGCACTTAAATATGATAATTTGGAACCGACAAAGACGAGGATATGACTGGCTGATGACGGCTACTCAACCAGAAATGCCTATTCCAGTGTACTTTGTCTTTGTCGGCGGTTCCACTCCATCCTATCCTTTCAGTTGCTAGGCGACTGCCTGCGAGGGCTCTAAAGTGAGCTTCAGAACAAAACCGGAAGGTACGTGCTCCATTACTAGACCGGCGAACACCACGTATTAATCATATTCCCGATCTCGACCGACAAACCAACGAGCTCGTGGTTCAATGGTATAGTGTTGCACTCAATGAGCATAGGTCCTGGGTTCGAATCCAG